AACTTAATTTGTTATCAGTTCTATTTGTTATTTATAATACCTGCATTTCTTTTTCCTTATTACCCAAATTCCTGGCCTGAGGTCTTTGTCCACTTTCTTTTATTGCTTAAATTTTTATTGGTACATTTTAGGTATACAATACTTTTATATTTATCATTGGGTGCTTATATCTGTACATGATGTATCTTGGTTCTTATTTTTTCCCCATTCCCTGCGCTCCCTTCCCTATTTACAAAGATTTTGTTTCCATTTTTTCTTTTCTCATAGTTTTTCCTTTCCCTTCTTTCCTTTCCCCTTCCCCTCCCACTTCCCCTATCCCTTTGGACCTTTTCTTTCTATTTCAGGCCATATTCTTAAGTGAAATAAATAGGACACACATGTGTAAATACCGAATAGCTTCTCTAGTGTGAGAAAATGAAAGTGTAAATAAGGATTAAAATGATTAAAATGAATAATTGATAATTCCACTTTCTTATTAATGCTGTATTCTGCCCCTACCTGTATCATTCTACTAACATATTTCCTGGTCAATACTGCTTCTCTCAATTCCTCTCTTCTTTGTAACATCTGATAATGTTGATTACTCTCTATTTCTAGAAAAATCTCTTAATTTCTAGAACCCAATTCTAGTTTTCTTTTAGCCATTGAGAATTTTCTTTTTCTTCTTCTTTTTTTTTTTTTTGGTACCAGGGATCAAACTCGGGTCCTTGCACTTGCGAGGCAGGCGGCGGAACCACTGAGCTAAATCCCCAGCCGGAGAATTTTCTTTTTCTAACTTCTATGCTTTTTTCCTTTCCCTCTTTTATAGTGTTGGTAGCCCACCAAAGTTTTATATTCATCCTTTTTCATTCTTTCACTTGGCTTTCATGTTCATTTGTTTACGTTTTTAGGGCTTCAGTGAATGAATAGCTCTCTGGCACCATCTTCTATTCCTTCTATTTCCTCATCTCTGACTTGAATACAAATCCTTTTTGCCTGCTTCCTAACTATCTACAATCTGAAGCTTAACTCACTGCACTGTACAAATCAGTGCCATCTATCAGTCCACCCATGTCAGCTCTATTGCTAAGGATTGAATTGTGTCCCCTTCCCCAAAACAGATATATTTAATTCTAACGTTTGTGACCTTATTTGGGAACAGTATTTTCATTGACTATCAAGTTACAATGAGGTCATTAGGCTGGGTCTGAACTCAATATGATTTGGTGTCCTTATAGAAAGGAGAAATTTAGCATAGAGACAGACATGCACACAGGCAGAATGCCATCCATCTGAACTTGAAGGCAGAGATTGGGGTAATGCATATGTATGTCAAGGAATGCCAGATTGCTGGGAAATGACAGAAGTTAGAGAGGCATGAGGTTCTTCCTTATAGCCCTCAGAAGGAACCAATCTTCCTAACATGTGGATCTTAGACTTCTAGCCTCTAGACCTGTGAGATAATAAGTACATGTGGTTTAAGCCTCCCTTTTTGTGGTACTTTGTTATGGCAGCTTTATTGAACCAATATAACCGGCAATCCCTCAATCTCCCAGATTAGAAAACCTAGACTCATTGCAGGTTCTTTCCTTTTCTTCATTATCTATATTAATTCTCTCTTCACTGCTTTCTTTCTCTTCTACCATTTTTTTCTCACTTCCTGTTGCTGTCACTTTACCTGAATAATTTCACATTCAATTCCTATAAAGGCCTCTAGTTGGTCTCTCTGAAACCAAAATTATTTCCAAAATACATAATTCATGTTGCTTTCATCATATTAGGACCATAGTCAGGATGTGCTTACAGTGTTACATTACCTACTATATTAAATCTAAGCTTAGCATTTGTTGTCTCCCACATTTTGGGCCCATCTTATTCACTTAATCTTTGATCTCCCCTATACATATCACAGTTATTTCCATCTTTCAGCCCTGCTTCTCCACTGTCTCCCATCAAGATGCATTTTTACCTTTCCTCCTCTCATCCAAACCTGTTCATCTTTCACTGCCTGTTGTCACTCTGGCCCACACTGATATCTTTTACCTTTGTTGCATTCTAATCGGTACTTTCCAGGTTAGCGCCAAGTGGTATTTCTTATATTTTATGTGTATCTATACATATATACATTTATAATTCCATCAGCTTATAGGACATAGTGCTTCCTAACTAACTGGTGAAATTCTTAAAGTGAGAATTAAGAGAAGAAGAGGGTGGGGAAGAGGAAGGGGATTGGATGCTAAGGGAAGAGAAAGCCTTGCTTAAAACAATGAAGGAGAATTAATTTAAGTCAATAAGTTCCATATATATTCCCTGGATCACTAGCATCTAAATAATTTAGGGTGCCAGAAAAAATGCAAATTCCTATACATCACTAAAGACCTACTATATCAGATTGTGCAGCCCAGAAATATAAAATCTAAAATGTAACTCAAATGATTCCCAAATACATCAATTCTGAGAACCATTAGTCTAAGTGAAGAAGGCAGAAAATAGATGCTGAAAGGGAACTGCTGTTCTTATACTTCCTGGGTACATGTACTTTCCATCATAGTTAACAATAGAATGAAATAATTTCACAATATCATGATTTTCTTTGGTGTGATTCTCCCTCTTCAACGCACTGCTTCGAGAACAGCAGTCCTTTCTTCTATGGCAAGAGTACGCCAAGTACTGCATCATAAATACGAGCTGACTAATACAGAATTTCTGGAAGAATAGAAATTTTGTGGGCAATCCAAGGAAAGGTAAATGATTTTACTTTCTTTGGGAAGTAAAACATAACCAGGAACACATTATAGATTTCCAGAATTCAAGCTTGGTACCATGGAGAGAAAACAACTCTGAGATCTAGTTGCTTAAGCTTTTAATTGGAACTGAGTGATAGCTAAAACATGTAGCTAATTTAGATAAAAACAGAACCCTCTCACTGGCTCACTTTGAGCAAGAGTTTTGCAGTTGAGTACCACAGAAGAGAGATAACAGAATTAGATACGATCGAAGGGAAGAAAAATGCACAAAAGTCCTTGAATTAAAATGAATTGAAACCTTCTGGGAGAAAAGCTATTTGGTAAGCTCCATTAAGTCTATTGTAGATAGCTTTATTTGAGAAAGCAGCATCCTGGCATGTGGAGCAGGAAAGAAAATAGCTATAAGATGATCTGTCAGGGAGTTTCCAGTCTCTAAACGAATAAGAATCTGTGCAGTAGCCAATACAGCTTTTAACTCAGAAGAGATACAGAAGCAAAATGCAATTATATAACCCTAGTAAGTGTATTCAGTCTGAATCTCCCACATACCCATTTCCTTCCCCAATAATTCCTCAAACTCTGCAATTTATCAAGTGGATGCTCAAACATGCTTGCATTGTTTCATGGTAACACTGGATCAACATTGTATCTGATGTATATACTGAGGGGGAGATAATTCTACAAGTCAAAGATTAATCAGCTATAAAACATCTTAGCTAAGCACTTAAATAATCTGAATAGCTCAATCACTATTAAAGTCTTCTGTTGATTTTGGCCATAAGTTCATAGTATTTATTTGCTGTAATTAGTTCATTACTCTGAAAATGCTCACTAACCACTAATTATAAAGAATTTATTCACTACAGATAGCAGTTTGTATGTTTAGGATGTGACATACAGCAGAAATAGAGAAAATTCAGATGTAACAGCTAATGAATGCCTTTTAGAAAAGTCCAACTTGGCAGCTTTCTTTCCTTGAGAGTTTTTGTTTATGGAGTAATGATTCTAACCAAGACAACTCAAGTGGATATGTAGCTTCTGGCTTCAATAAATAAGTATTGGAACCACAGAAATTCAGATTGAATTATACTGAATCTCTCCTCTTCCCCGTCCTGACAGGGACAGTACACTGCAACTCTAGTGTCTAGCACAGTGCTTGGTATGTAGTAGTTATTAAATGAATGGGTGAACTCAATTATCCATCACATAATCCGGTTAGATGGTTTTGGCAATGAATGGATCACAATGTGGAAGTTGAGGCTCAGTGGGGAAGAAGTCCCTGTGAAGTCAAGAAGGGCAGAGCTGGGACTAAGACTCAGATGTTCTCACTTTATGTCCAGTGCTCTTCTTCACTGTGCCTTTCTACAATCTAACTTCTAAGATTGTCAGTAATGGTTTGCCAGAAAAGACTGGTTTTCTGACTGGTATTTTATTCACTTCTATGGTGATCTCTCATCTAAGATCGTATATCATGAAACTGAACGGTATTTTACCATTGTTCAAAACGTCCACCCTAGGGGTCCCACTGGGAAGCCACGCTGTGGCCTCTGTATCACAGTGAGGTCTTGACTATATTAAGCTAGAGCAAAAGCATTTATCCAGACAACTGCTTGTGGGCCCCTCTCTGGTTCTCAATATACACTCTCAGTAACCACAATGGAAGGCAGCAGATAGGTACACAGTCATATGTTGAAGATATTTCTCCTTAGTTTGTGGATTTTTCTTTTACCTTTGTAACTGTTTTTATGAAATATTTAATTCTATGCAGATAAATCTGTCTAAAATCTTTTATGATTTCTAATTTTGGAAACTTCACCCCAAAGTATATAACCAACTTTTACATTTTTCATAATTTCTTTGTTATTTGTATTTTGTTAATATTAAAATCTTATATCCATCTTTTATTAATTTTAGTGTGTAGTATGAGTGATATAGTATGTATGCATATGTTTGCTCATGGTTTCTATTGTATAACATATTACTAATAAATCCAAATCAAATATATAACAATACTGCCTAAATGTCTAGTGCTTCTTGGAAAAGGAAGTCTGCTTTCAATTCAAAGGAACACAGGGGTAAATTAAGATCTTAGAAAATCCTGTAGACACAAGGTTGATAGTTAGCCAATGAGCACTTATGTGGCCCATCAAGTATTTCTAGCTGGTATCCAGTCTGATGGGTTGATGCTCATATTGTACTTTGTGTGAAAGGTTTGAAAATATTGCCCTTTCAAGTAGATGTTTGTTAAATAAAATAAAGCAGGATTATCTTTACCTGATTCCTCCGTTTCTTTTGTTTCTGCTGTTTCTTCTATTTCATCATCAGACATTTCCATTTCTTCTTCTCGCCTGATTCCCATTAATTCATCATTATGAATGTTGCGAATTTCCTAAGGTTAAAAGGTATGCTTTTTAAAAGGTGGGAAAGCATTGACAGTATTTAAGAAATGAAGAGTTAAAGATAAGATAAAGTAGCTTTTTGGGAATATATTAAAAACTCTCAGAGTACTTTTAAGGTAGAAGCAAAAGGGTATATTATGACTAATTAGTCTCACTAGAGAAAGCATACTTGGGTACACTTTGCCTTGCACTGAGTTTTCTTTCTAGAATTAGAACCCTGGGAGTCTATTATTCTCATATTGCTCCAATATTAGAAAGTACCTTTGAACTTGAAAGATTCATCACTTCTTATCATGAGGAATTCTGGAGTTTGCCTTAACAGTTTTGCCACTTTTACCTCCTCATGTCGGACTCTTTAATTTTGCTGCTTGCCATCTTGTTTCCCCTCCCTTTTAATAGTTTTACTCAAAAAAATTCTTAACAGAATTTTTGCAATTTTAGAAGTTACAGCATAAATGAGCTATCAGGAGTAAACTCCTACCAGATCAACTGTCTCATGGATAATGACTAAAACCAAACCAAACCTATAACTATTGATATCATTGGAGAGTGAACCAAGGATACTCTGAAGAGGAGCTGACTCTTGGAGCAAGGACCCTTTAGTCTGAGAGCAGGACTGAGTTAGCTACTCAGAGAGTGGCTAAATTTCTAATGGAAAACCCAGTTTTTGTGGGCTATTAACTTAAGAAGAGAGTTTAGGGCAAAGGAGGCAATGAGATACAGAGAGAGAGACAGAGAGGGAGAGATGGAGAGTGGAAGACAGAGAGAGACAGAGACAGAGAGAGAAAGAGACAGGGAGACAGAGAAATGAGTGATCAGAGAGGGAGATTCAAATTCTGTATATAAGATCTGTTCAAATTTCTGCATGGTTCCTCAGCCATGAGAGGGCAGATCCTAAATAATACAGCTAAGGTTCAAAGAGCTGAACTAATATTTAAGCTGCCATCCAAGAGATAGAATTTCCAACTTGAGTCCAGCCATGTAAATTGACCATTAAAACAAAAGAAAACAAAGTCAACATTTTTTTGGAGGAATACAACAGAATCCAAAAGCTTTATAACATAATACATTATCCAGGATAATGTCCAAAATTACTTGACATATTGAAGAACTGGGATGAGATGGCCTATTTCCAAGAGAAAGGATGATTGAGGGAGACTAACCTTGAAATGAACCAGACGCGGTAATTAGCAGAAAAAGAATTAAAATAGGTATTGTGACTATGCTTCTGATGCAAAGGGACTATTTCTATAATGACAAAAAGATGGGAAATCTCAGCAGAGGGTCAGAAACATTAAAAATGAACTAATGTTTCTTCTGTTTGAAAATTAAAAAGAGTCAAAGTTATTCTGTCTAAAACTAAACAACAATAACAAAAGAATTCTTTTTAAAAGTTTCTCTTCCTCTAACAAGATTGCTTATTTTTTCATTCATTATGAACATATTTCCTTTAGATCACTGAGCACAGATATAATAGCTGATTGAGCTCCTTGTATGCTAATGATCATATATGGGTAATTCTAAAGCTGAAAAATATGATATCCAAAATAAAAATAATTGGATAAGACTAAAAGTAGAATAGAGATGACAGAAAAAAATAGAATCAAAGGGAGGATAATACAATTGTATCCAACTTTTAAAATAACAAGAGAGCTGTGGGGTTGTGTTCAAATGTCTAGCCTACATATAAATGGTATTCCAGAAATATCAGAGAGAATGATTTAAAAACATTTGGAGAAAGAAAGGTTGACAATGTTACAAATTTGATGAAAGGCACCAATCTACATATTTGAAAACCTCAATGTGCCCCAGAAGGATATGTGTGTAAAAAAAGCATGTCAGAGAACATCATACTCAAACTGAAGAAAACTAAAAAAATAAAAAACTCTTGACAGCTAGAGGAAATACCAGATTATGTAGGGGGAAAACAATAATTTGAATGCTTTGATTTCTTTTAGAAATGATAAAGTTCAGAAGTCAGTGGAACTATCTTTAAAGTTCAAGGAGAAATAAAAATATTTACTTATTAAGAATTTGATATTCAGAAAAAATTCTTTCAAGAAAAAATGATATTTTTGTGCAAAAGTAAATGCAAGAACTCATCACCAAGAGACTGTATGATAGGAAATGCTGCAGAGAGTTTTTCAGGCTGAAGGGAAGTAATACCAGATGTAAACAGAGATCTTCATGAAGGCATGAATCACACTGCAAATGATTGAGATCACGTTGGAAAAGGCACTTTAAAAAAGTAAGCATGAGAACTGCATTTTGGAGCAGCTTGTATTCATTTAAAGGCCACCTGATGCCCATCAGAGGTTCCTTAGCACTGAGCTAACAATTTTTTGACTTCATTAAACCCCTACTAGGTGGTCATATAGGAAATATCCAAAGCTGACTGGTGAAAATTGCTCTCATTTACAGAGATTATACATATTTCAAATAAATTACTTAATGTTGTAGTTTGCTCACTATCTCTAATTTCCTTCTCTTTTATGCCTTTTAGAAGGAAAAATAATGGTTTCTATTTCAAGTTAAGCTTTCATTAAAACTAAATAAAAGCTCATTTTAAAAGTGAGCTATTTAGAATCATCACTGATAGTTAAGAAGTAATAGAAAAATCAGATGTTAACAGCATCTCCCATGTACCGTAGGGGCATTATTGAAAATAGAAAAAAATAATGACCTGCTTATGAAAAATGAACTTTAAAAGGCTGTGTCATAAGAGGTATTTACCATGTCTTATTCATACTTATTGCACAGAGAGCAATAAAGGAATTTCTCATTTCTGTGAATTCATTCTCTCTCAGCAGACTGGGTTTCAGTTATCATCAGAGTTGTTACTGGAAAGGTGATTATAACAAGGTTTGACATTAGTAAATTCGAATATTGTACAACTTATTGCATCAGGAAAAGTCATGGCTTTCTAAATGCCTAACAAAAATGTAGACTGTCAGAAGGTATAAGCAGAGATCAATTCTTAATTCACACACATGTCACCCAATCCTGGGAAAGTTATCATGTTTCTCAGAAGAGTAAATAATGTTCTTTCTAGGGAAATATCCCAGGACAGGAAGATTTGGTGGCTAAGACATGTCCTGTAGCTGCCTAGCATCCATAAAGGATCTTTGTCCTTCCAGTTGGGCAAGAAAGCATAATCTCTTCTTAGAAATATTAAAAAACCTCAGTAACTACATAATATGGCTTATTTAGAGGTCTTTCAAGACTTCAAAAGTCCCTAGAAATGCAACAGATTTAGGGGCGAATTTTACCTAGCTTGGACATAAACAGAGGAAGGATTCGGAGGCATTTAAGTACAGAGGCAAAGGAAATAGTTGCCTCCCAGATTTGTCCCATTCCCCATCCCCACATTTGGATCCAATACTGACACCAAGAGTGGTATGCACAAACATTTTTCATCAATTTGCATTTGTAAATCTCTCCTTGAAATTGAGTCATGTCACTGACAGACTACATCAAAAAAGGTAGGACAGCCTTTCATTTCAACAGTGAACTTTGTGATTTCTGAAACGGCATTGTGATGAATATGAATCTGTTCTAATAGTAACTTTTTCTGGAATTTAGAAATTCACATTGCTCCACAATAGAGAACAAAAATCACATTTTTTATAGAATGAAACTGAAACCTAAGACACAAGGAAATGCATGAAAAGAATCAATTTTGTACCAGTTGACGTTTTTGATTTATTATAAAGTAAGCAAATAATAAATCATTACACATTAATTATGTAATTATAGTTTCACAAAAATCTATGTAGACTTAAATTCATCTTATTCATGTTTTATGATAGTATCATGATTACGAGAAAAATCAACGTTCCTTATTAAATGTATAACAAGATTCCACTTACCTAGACTTTCAACATTGACAGGAAGTTTGGTAAGGAAGGGGTCATGAGGGAATGAAAGGGCACAGAATAGGGAGATGGTTTCTATACTTATGGATCAATTTGATTCTGAAATGCTGTCTAATACAATGAAGCAAAGCACAAATACAGGACTTTGATCAGTCTACTGTATGATATATGATGGAAATACAAATTAGATTGGTCCAAATTGGTTTAGTATATTTTTTGGTGGCTGAAAGCAAACAGCTAGTGTTAGTACCAATGGGTCCTAAAACAAAGGTATATGGATGACTTGAATATCTATTTGCAAACTGTTCTTCAGAGTTTGGAATGGTAGGCCTGTTAATCTAGAGGTAGTTATGTTAGCAATCACAGTATTTCACTTCACAAGAATACTAGCAATTATCAAGTCCCATTTTCTCTGGCCTAGTGGTTTAAAAACTCATATTATGAAGGATGCAAAGAGTTATCTCCTTAGCATCTGCTACTATGGTTCTAGTTTCATATATCATTCAAGTTTTTGCTTTTATTCTTGGCCAGCTTGAGAGGAACACGTAGGTTTTAAATAATTCTGTAGAAAAAGAGTTCCCATACCACACAGAACTGTCAATAAAGTCACTGTAGATACTAACTTTCATTAAGGGGAGGGACTTTTGCCTTCTCTTACTACCCTTTTCAATTGTATTAGCGGGAGCCTCACACATATATACATTAGGAAAGTAAAGCAACAAGAAAAAATTATTAGCGAACTAGTCTGTCTTGCATATGCTATCAAAGGTAGTACCTGAGCTCCCCAAAAGTGGGGAGTTTTTCTTTTTAAGCCACACCCTCTCACTCAGCAGAATAAAACAGTATTGGCTGCTGGTAGAAGAAGGATGACAATGAGAAGAACAGGAACTTTATGACATGAGAGGGTCACCAGCTGACTTGTTCCCAGAGGCAACAGATGAGAAGGTTAAGTGTCAGAAATTTCAATGTTGATGAAAGGCCTGCCTTAGGAGTCATAGTTTTGATGTCAAGGTCAAGAAATAGGCAGTCTATCTGATTAAGTCTTTGAGATGCTTTGATTTTAAGTGGGGTGCTAAGAGGCAGCCACAATTTAAGAGGACAGTTTCTCTACTTCCCATAGGATACCTCTTTTCAGTCTTCACAGTAGATTGCTATCAAATGAAAGTTTGTAGAGGTGAAAAACAACCAAAAATAATGATGAAAAGAAGCAAACTATAACTTAACAGGCACCAAAATAGAATGGAAGAGATATTGTGGGTTTAGGTCACAAGATATGTCCTTCTATCAGCAATAGCTTTATATGTCAAGATTGAAGTAATCAAGGTGGAACATAATTTAATCTAATCAAAAGGTAGGAAACATTTCTGGGGGTTTCTAGAAAGTCTACAAGGCAAAGCACAAAACATGTAGCTCTTGGCAAGTCATACTGGCTGTGTATTTTATCCTCATTGCTCTGCCAAGGAAGCTCTGTGACAATATTGGGTAAGAGGGTAACAGCTGTCAGTTCTTTATAGACTCACAGAAATGTCTCGCTCTCTGTCTAGCTTTACTAGGAATGTCATTAAACTCAAGTACAGATCCACAAGATAAGTAAGCCTGATATAACCAAGGAGCCTTGATGAATAATACCGATGGACAGGATGACACTGCAATGTAATTTACAAAAGGGTTGTGGCCTAGAATGTCAGGGTTCCCACAAGGGGCTCAATTTCTCCTATGAAAAGGCAACATTATTCTTGCAAGGCTGTCCTTAAAGGGTGGGGCAGTTCAGACAGCTTCTTCTAACCTCTAGGAGGGATATGAGTGCATGTGTATTGAAGTGAGGGAAGCAACTGAATATACACTGAGCATCTCTAATCCCTAGATCTGAAATCTAAAATGCTCCAAAACCTGAGATTTTCTGAGGGTTGACATGATGCCACAAGTAGAAAATTCCATAGCTGACCTCATATAATGGGCTTCAATCAAAATAAGAGTGCACTAAAAAAATTTATAAAATTACTTCAGCCTGTGTGAATAAGGTATAAATAAAACATAAATGAATTTTGTGTTTAAACTTGGGTCCCCTACCCAGAATATCTAATTATGTATATGCAAGCACTATAAGATCTGGAAAAGAAAACCCCAACTCCAAAGCACTTTTAGATCCAAGCACTTTGATAAAGGGATTCTCAACCTAAATTACTTTTTTATAATTGTGAAGACTCTCAGTGTTTATTCTTTTGAACCAAAGAATCTAGATATTTTAACTTTAGTGTTTGAAATTCTACTGATCCTCTTGATCACTTTTCTTATCCTTCTGGCTCCCTGAGGGCAAAGGCTACTGTGTCCTGGGTTGCCTGTCATAATGCCTGGGACAGAGAAAGTACTTAGTAAACCTTTGAATTGCAATGTTAAATTTTGTTTGTTGAGGTAGTGCTAGAATTCTGAAATCATTTTGTACTACAGTAAGACAAGAGTTTTCTTATGTGTTCCTAATTCTTTAAAAACAACAAGTAAAGATGCTATTGGCTTTTTATAACCCTACTCATTCACTGGACAGATGTTTCCAGGGATATTTCTCCAGTGGCTTCCACAGCCCTTTGCTAGGCTCTGAACTGATGGCTCAGTGACTACATTTGTGAACGGGGTTTGGCTTATTTTCCCCTAATCATTCCTCATGGTTTTCAAATTGTTCCTACACAAACTGTCTCATGTATTCTCTATTATCATTATTTTAAAGGTTAGAAAACAAAGGCTAAATAAAGGTTAGATGACTGAATCAAGACCACAAAGCACTCTGTAAAAGCGCTAAGAATGAGGAGAATAATTTCTAGGCCATTTGCCAGTTGTGTAATTTTGTGTAAATCACTTAATGTTTTTGCATTTCAGTTTCCTTACATGTAAAACACAGGTTCTATACCTAGTCATTATCTCTTACTGAATTGTTAATATTCAATTGAAAAAATACTATTTATACTTTTCAAGCTGCTCATACATTTCTTAACACATTTAATCTTGCAAGACTGATTACATTAGTATCTAAAATTTATGGTTGAAGAAATAGAGACTGAGAAAGGCTGAATAACTTGTTCAATCCATACAGCTACAAAATTTATCAGAGCTGAAATTTAAAATCATGACTGACTCTAAGTCCAATACTCCTTTTACTATACCATGTCTATTGTGAGGTTGTAAGGTTCACTTAGGTGATATAACCAATGTGAAAGTGCCTTACAAATGTAAATGTTGAGGGCTAGGGGTGTAGGTGATTGGTAGAGCGCTTGCCTAACATGAACAAGACCCCGCCACCCCACCTTTTGCCACAGTACTGAGGATTGAAACTAGGCCCTTTACACTGAGCTATATCTCCAGCCCTTACTAAGTTTTTTCGAGAAAAAAATCTTTGTAATTGCCCAGGGCGGGGAAAACTTGTGATCCTTCTGCCTCAGCCTCTCAGAGTGCTGGGATTACAGCTCCGTGCCACCATGCCCAATTAAGGGCCCATGTTTGATCCCTAGCATCACAAAAAAGTCTTACAAATGCCACTTAAATATTAATAAATATGATAACCTGTATTGATAGATCCAATGAGATTATTACCAGACTAGCACAGAGGACTCAGAAATGAAACTGAAAAAGTTGCTACACATGTAAATCAAAAGTATCAGGGCTGGGTATGGAAGGTGCCCACAGGAATAGAAGAACTTGAGGCATATGTAACACTATTTCCAAAGCTAGATCAGTGAAAACAAACTTCCTTGTCTTGGTTTTTAATGTTGGAGTCAGAAAAGCAACCTAATCACATCATACATATTCTAGTGTTATACTAAAATTTTTATTTGAACACAAGCAGAGAGTCGTGTGTCAACCTTAATCTGAGATCAGAGTTCTCAGTTACTTTTAAATCTACCTTCTATAAAGATGGCTAAACAGGTTTGAATAAAGCAGTTCAGAAATTTCTTTGTCTGATATACCACCAGGCAGCTTCTAGTCTCAATTGTCAGGATGCTCTAATAAATGTAAGACAGCCCTAATATTACTAACACTACAAGCACAGGTCAGTAATTATTATTGTACTTCAAACTAGCTAGCTTAGAGAAGTAAACTTATAATTATCTCAGCTACATTTTCTCTACTAAAGTTTCCATTCAGCAGAATGCATTCAAGACAACACGAGCACATTTACTGCCCTTTGGACCGCAGGTGGTCTGAACACAGTGACAGACTATAGGACACATCTTAGGATTTCATTAGGGCCTTGTTGTGACTGTGGGATCTTGGTACTATTTAGTTCTGGCTAAACTCCAAATCAATAACTTGTTAAAGAAAGACACTGTCTCTGTGAGGAGCTACCAGAGTAAAAAGTTACCAACCTCAGCTTGTTTGCACCAAACGCTGATATTTTTACGCTGGGCTTTTGTGAAGTGGTCCCAAGCCTTCTGTTTGGAGGCAGAATGGTACACAGCCACTATCTGCTCAACTGTAGCATCAAATTAGCAGTCAGATCAGGACAGAGTATCATCCAGGCATGGCAAAAAAGGGGAGAAGAGAAATAAAAGAGAAGCATGAGCTTGTGGTTCTTTTTTGTTATAACACGAGCCCTGATGGGGGTTGTACTTGGAAAAGGCTGTGTATTGCAGTACTATGATTTTAAGGTGAACTCAAAGGAAGAAACATCAATAAACAGAAAGAAGAAAGAGAATTGAGGAAGGTTTGGGGTGAAATAGTGAGTCAAGTTTTAATCCAGGTAGTATGTATTCACTCAGGCACGAAAAGTACAAGTTGTAGCAAATATGTTTACTTTTGCACTACTGACCCATGCATAGCACTGAAATTGTATCAGCAACTACTACCACTAGCCCTTTTGTTTATTAATTATATAGGTAGATTTAAGGTACACAATATAATGACATTCATCATTGGAAATTTGCATCTTTACATAATCCATCTTGGTCCTTATTTTTTCCCCATTCCCCTGCCCTCCCTTAAACACCTCCACCCCTCCCTATCTACAAAGACTTTGTTTCCATTTTTTCATTTTAGCATATTAATTCCACTCCCTTCTTTCCTTTCCCCTACCCCTCCAATTTCCCCTTCCCCTTTGCACCTTTTCTTCTTATTTCATATTATCTATTATATCTTTCAGTCCTTATTTACACTTTCAGTTTCTCACACTAGAGAAACTATTCAGTATTTACACATGAATGTCCTATTTATTTCATTTAGGAGTATCACCTCAATGTGCATCCATTTAGCTATAAATGT